GGGGGGGGGGGTCTTATCTGGTGCTGAGTGGGGTCCCATGGGTGAGACATCAGATCTAGTCAGGGTGGGCTGCAGCTGCGGGCTGCTCAAGGCCCTTCTTGGTGGGTTGTGGGGGCTGGGCTGGGCTGCATTTGGGTAAGGTGGCATCAGCACGTGGGGGGGTGCAGCTACTCTAAAATTTGCCATAGCCCCCCTCCCAGCACCACCAACCCAACCCCTCCCCCCCCAATGCTGAATGAATTTTTAGTTGGACTTTGCAGCATAAGTTGAAGTAAAAGCTAAAATGTTTCTATACAAAGCATTTGGAGAAGTGGCATCTTATTAATGGACTAACTTAAAAATATGTGATTTCCAGTATTTTCCCAGCTTAAAATGTAAATTGGCTTTGAAAATGCAAAATGTATTGCAAACTTAGACTTACGGATGAGTAGTAGAAAAATAAAAATGAATTAGTCAATGTATAATGAAATGTGCTCTTTTACAAATTCACATAGCTGTTTTGTTTTCTTCAAGATTAATACTTCTCGTTTGGTTTTATTTTAGCATAATTAGTAATCTACCAGACATTGTGTAGGTGGGTAAGTATACGACAGCAGAGTATTAAAATAAATCCTTCTTTGCAGTTTAAACTTCACTTTGTGAGTGGATGTTTTGGAATTGGTTTGGATTTTGACAGGTAGTAGAGGCGTAGTTACAGTATTAAAAAATCATTGAGCAAGCTATTCCATTTCAGGAATATAAAGGTGAGATCAGTTTTCAGGGTAGAGGAAAGGTAGTCTGAAGAACCAGCCTTGGGTGAAGCTACATAATTAGATAGTGTGTTTGAGACTGGAAGAACATGATACCCTTGGATATACATAGACTGCTAATTGCAACTGTAATTGTGCAAGTTAGCAGCTTTATCTGAAATCCCTGGACATTGGTGATAGAACTGAAAAGTATTTAAAACTTAATTTCAGTAAAAGAATATATTTTTCTTATATTTTAGCCACATTCAGTATAAAAATTTCATTGTGTCTGAAATAAGTTGGAATTCTTATTTTGAAAAATGAAGAACTTGCTTTGAATAGTGTTTGCTGTCAAAAAAATATTTAAAAAAAAACAAATAAGCACTTACTGGCCTTTTTAACAATTACTCAGTTTCCTTCCACGTACTTACAGATAGGGTGAAACTTTTTGGTTTTTGCAAGCATCACCTTATGATAGCATACGTATGCTTCAAAGAAAGACTTGCTGTTGCAGGAGGTGGCATTTTTCTGGTGCCATGTACATAACAGTGGAGCTGATTGGTAATTTTTAGAATTCATAAATCTTAAAAGTATGCAAATGGTCCCATAATGAGCTATTTGTAAGCTCTGGTAAGTAACATTTTGAACCAAAGCCCCAGGATCAAAATTAGATAATGTGCTTCTAGAGATGTAGGCCAAAAAGTTGCTGAACAAAAGGCTTTGACCATCTGTGTTAGATTTTGTGCTAAATGTCACAAGGGGCTTGAGTGAGATCGTGCTGAAATAGGTGAAAAGATATCCATTGACTTCTGGTGAGCTCGACTGCACCCAAGAGTAGTCTTAAAGAAATTAGTAGTTACGTGGCCAAAGTCCAATTTGGGTGACTCCTTTTTAACAGCTTTCTGCTTTAAATTGCATAAAGTTGTTCTTGGTTCTGAACAGTTCGCAACTGTTTAGAAGTACACGTTATGCATGCTTCGTCTCCTAGATGCAACTCCTTTAATAATGGGTACAATAATTTTTATGAATTTATGTGAGATTTGTAAAGCAGTTTGGAAAGTAAAGTGTTATACATGAGGTCCTCTTTAGGAGCTGTTCCATAAAATCTTGTTTTGTGTCTCTGCTGTGTATAAATTGTAATAAACAGTTTATGCAGGAGACCTGAAGTTATTGCACCAAAATTGCCTCGCCCTACTTTCATATAAACTTAATCTTGGCCCAGTTTTCTTAACTATAACTTCATGTTCTGTTTTAACATTTCATCTTAGAGTTCTGGAGAAGTTTATATTTCCAATAATCTCACTTAACTGCAACATCTGCATTGAGTTTCTCTCCTTGGGAAAATAGAATCATAGAAAGTTAGGGTTGGAAGGGATCTTAGGAGGACATCTTAGTCCAACCCCCTGCTCAAAGAAGGACCATCCCCAATTAGACCATCCCAGCCAAAGCTTTGTCTAGCTGGATTTTGAAGACCTCCAGGGATGGAGCTTCCACCACCTCTCTGGGTAACCTGTTCC